TTAATTTTTTTTTGTAATATTTCAAGCAATATTTAATCAACGGTTTTATACATTTATTAACTTCACAATTTAAAAAATGGTTAATTTTTTTTCAATTTCCATTATTAATATGTTAAAATAAATAGAGATTTTTATTTGAATATGATTTGGGTTTCTTTGAGTGAGTTTTTATGAGTATGTAATGGGATCTCCAACTATATTATCCTATGATTTTCCCTGATTCTATAATATATCGAATATAAAAATTGCTTAAGGAGGGGAATTGTCAATGACTAGTATATTCAGTTTTAGATAAAATATCAAACGAAAAAGCTTAATCTACCATAAAAACAACTTCTGTTTAAAATAGAACAAAAAATAAAACGGTAAAAGTATTGTTTTACAATATAATGAACAACATACATTTAATAAATTCAATTTATTTACAATGCTAATAGATGATAAATAATAAATAGAATAATACGATGTTCTGAAAGGTCTACTAATAGCAATAATTTTAGTTTATTTAAGCGACAAATTCAAACAACAGTTTCCAGTAGATGGAATAATATTTTAGAAACGGGGACAATTTCATTGATTATTTTTCATTCAATGGACAGATATTTGAATCCTGATGTCTATTAAGCCACGTAGTAAAAGCGACAAATTCAAATAAATTATAAGTTCATAAACAAACTGGCAACATGACAAAGGTAAGCATTAAAAACGTTTTTAATGCTTTATCCCTTTTAATTATTCAGACTTACCAATCCAATGTTGCCAGTTTGTTTATTAACTTATTTCTAACCGCAGACCACGAGAGAACGCAACTTAGTGACTATTGGATAAGATAGGCGCCTTTTATCTTACCATTTGGACGCTCAATGAGCGTTCTTTCATGCAGTAGTATATTCATTGTATTATACATCTATGACACTTTAAGTTTGTGTATCTGATTATTTGAATTTGTCGCTCTTCCTACCTGAACAGTCTGATTTGTATAAGATAATTTATCATCGGGTAAAATTAATATATCACTAAAGTTATTACATAAGTTCTTAATAGACGACTTTTCTTCGTCGTTTAAATGATCTACTCTTAAATTTTGATCTAAAAGCATTAATCTATTATTATTTAAAGAAATATCATAATTATATTTATTATTATTATCATTATTTTAGCTTCGATGCGAAGCTGAGAAGGTATTGGTTTTACTAAGATGTGTTTATTTTTTTTTTTTTTTTTTGTGTCTGTTACCACTTTTTCTCAGCTCTCACCGAACGGATTTCTTTCAACGATACGTCAAAAGATCACAAATCGTATCTAGTCGAAGACATTACCCTTCAAAATTGAAAAAATTTCCCTCGTTCCCCGTAAATGGGGGAAACCTCCAAAAAAATTACAAATTTAAAAATCGCTAATTTTCGAAATTTTTTCAATTTTTTTTACTAAAAACTGCCGTAACTTTTTCAAAAATGAACATATCAATATAATTTTTTTTTATATAGATGCTTGATGTCTTTACCTATCATTTGGTATATTTTTTTTGTAAATTTGACCCTTTATCTGCCCACAGGGGGGGATTTAAAATGACAACTTTTTCACAAAAAATTAACTTTTTCAACTTAACTTTTGAAAATGTTCCGGAAGGTCTGACACTTTTATATATATCTTAAATTAAAGCTAATGTAATATACTTTAATTTGAAAAAAAAAAATTTGACCTCTGGACTTGTCTTCACGGCGAAAATGGCTACCGAATGCTATTTTCGTGTGAAAATTCTCGATTTTATTATTTATATTATATTTAACTTTATAATGCTATAACTTATTGAAAAGTTTATGGATCCACACAATTTTTTTATGAGAAATAATATTTTTTAATAAACCCTTTTTCATTCGACATACTTTATCTTAATCGAGATATTAATAAGGAACCAGCAGATCAAGTAGCTTTTGGAATAAAACACCAATTTTTTTAAAATTAAACACTATCTAAAGATTTGCATCGAAGCGTTTATTTTTGATAGTGATTTTAATCACTGTCAGATATCATTTACTTGATCCAACTATGCCACGTCACCACTGTGCCGCGACCCCCCTGTGCTGGGTTTTTATTTATCAATTCGAGGTTTTCGGATAAAGTGTCGAATTTAATAGTATTCATAGAAATCGAAATATCTTTTTCTGATGTGTTTAAAATCGGTACGATCGCATAATTATCTTTAATTTGTTTTATATAAGTTCCAACAAAAACATTTTCATTAATTGCTATAGGATCATATATAATTCCGGTTGTGTCGTTAGTGTGGGCTGTTTTCACTTTAATTATAGATTCTGATTAATCGAGTAATTACTCGTAAGAGAAAGGTCTGTAATGTTAATTTTATCATAGAAAAAGGATTTTAGTTCTTTTTTATTGAAATCAATAAATTTAACATAATCGCCAAGAAAATCATATCCAAGTATACCGTGAGTATTAATATTTTTGTCTAGAGATATCAAAATTCCATAAGTTATAATTAAAATTTTAATAAAATAAAAAAATGTTTACAGAAATCTATAGTAATTATTTAATTAATATAAAAAATGTAAATTCAATGTATAAAAATTAATTTAATTAGTATTGTCTATAGAATTCTAAATTTTAAACACAAAATTTTATAAAAGAATATATATTATTGTTTTGTTTTATACTTTTTTTTATATTCATAAAAATTATGATCTAAATTATTTTTACCATGTCAAAAATATTTATTAACAATAATTTTTAAAAAAGGCATTAGTATTGAATTTACTCAATACCTACAAAAATAATGAACCAATAAGTTAATATTTATTAGTAGAGTTGTTAAAATACGGTATTTTATTTTTTTGTTGTATAATATCGTATAATACTGTATAAATCCTTGTGGCACCTTAAAATTTGGGAAAAAATAAACTTTAGAGTGATTATTTTTCATAAAACGCAATAAATAAATGAGTACTTACTGAAAAAGCCTTTAGCAAAATTGATGAAAACAAAATGTTCAGGGAGTAATTAGTTAAAGTATTGAACTAAGATATTTCTCTATCCAGAATTCCTGTCTAGAGGATGATTTAGTATCAACTATGTACCAATTTGATTGGAAAAATGACCAATCCAAACTTTGTTAAAGTCAATTTATAATTTTTATTTAACTAGTTAATCTAAATAGGTTATTTATGGTTTTTGTTAAAATTTCGGTTATTAGCTTCGATGCGAAGCTGAGAAGGTATTGGTTTTACTAAGATGTGTTTATTTTTTTTTTTTATGTCTGTTACCACTTTTTCTCAGCTCTCATCGAACCAATTTCTTTCAATGATACGTCAAAAGATCACAAATTGTATCTAGTCGAAGACATTACCCTCAAAAATTTAAAAAAATGCCCTCGTTCCCCGTAAATGGGGGAAACCTCCAAAAAAATTACAAATTTAAAAATCGCTAATTTTCGAAATTTTTTCAATTTTTTTTACTTAAAAGTGCCATAACTTTTTCAAAAATGAACATATCAATATAATTTTTTTTTATATAGATGCTTGATGTCTTTACTTATCATTTGGTATATTTTTTTTGTAAATCTGACACTTAACCTGCCCACAGGGGGGGATTTAAAATGACAACTTTTTCACAAAAAATTAACTTTTTCAACTTAACTTTTGAAAATGTTCCGGAAGGTCTGACACTTTTATATATATCTTAAATTAAAGCTAATGTAATATTCTTTATTATGCAAAAAAAAAAAATTTCGGACTTTATTTTATCTTCACGGTGACAATGGCTACCAAATGCTATTATTGTGTGAAAATTCTCGATTTTATTTTTTACATTTTTAACTTTATAATGCTATGACATATTGAAAAGTGTATGGATCAACATTATTTTTTCATTCTACATACTTTATCTTAATTAGGATATTAATAATGAACTAGCAGATCATGTAGCTTTTGGAATAGTCCACCAATTTTTTAAAATTAAACAGTATCTAAAGATTTGCATCGAAGCGTTTTTTTTTTATAGTGATTTTAATCACTGTCAGATATCATTATACTTGATCCATCTATACCACGTGACCACTGTGCCGCGACCACTCTGTGCTGGATTTTTTATGTGTTGGTTGTTTGATAACGGTTAATAATTAAAAAATATATTCGATTACCGTTATTTTGTTATACATAAAAAATCAGTGATTACTTCTTTACTATGAAAAAATGCAGTTCTCTGATATTTTCTTCAACGATAGGTGTGTTACAGGCCGGCGCAAAGTTTTGCGGGGCCCACGGTAAGTTAGCCGTGTGGGGGCCCCAGTAGTTATCTCTATTTCTGGGTTGAAATTTTTTAAAGATCTTTTTTTTTTTGCTTAACCGACAAAAAAGTAGATAGGTTAAAGACAAATTAAACTAAGCCAACTGCGGGGTCCCAACGACTGCGGAGGCTGGGGCAGGTGCCACAAGAGGACAGTGAAACTAAATATAAAAAAATGTTATGTGCTCCCCATGGAAAATTCTAGCGACACCTTTAAATGAGAGTAATTGTGTATACGGACATAAAAAATAAACAATAAAATAAAAGTAATTGCTTCTTAGTTATACATCGAAACTAAAGTATGATTTTATCATAGTCTAATAATACGTAAACTATTTAAAAAAAAAAGTAACTTAAAATATTTTATTTGTCAAAACATCGTAAATATGGAGATTTAATACGTAAAATATTTTTAGCAATTTATTTAATTCCATAATCTCATACATCCTTCCCCGGGTATCAACTGATTTCATAATGATATATTATTATCATTAAATATATATGTTGTTATCATTGAATTAAATATAAATTACGAACTTGGATACATTTTTTATATTAATTTGTGATATAAATTTAATTTATTTCAAAATATCCAACTGTTCAAACAATATGAGATAACTGATTATGAAAACTTGTTTCAGTATAACGTTTTAAATTTTTATTAATTTATCTTTAAGTCATTAATAAAATTAATTTTGTGTTTAATTTTCCAAAATTATACTATTCTTAAAAGTATTATCTAATATATGTATTATTAATAGTATTACATTCCATTATTTCAATTTTAACATTTGACTAGTTTAAATAATTTTTATATAAATAATTATAGTAATTTTAATTAAAAATGTTGTCGATAAACAAAAGGTCATCGATCAAATCTAAAATATTTACAAATGTAAGGGTGTGTATTATACTAGTTTTTAGTTAAATTCTTAGTTACCATAAGAATTTACTGTTACATAAACCCTATTATATAAATTCTTTGGCTTTTATTCTATTATATTTTGTAAATATTTTTTAGTTAATTGCATAGTAGTGATGTCATATTCCTTCTGCAATGAAAAACTATTTGATGAAGATATAAATTTTATTTTATTTGGGAAAGAGGAAATTTTTTTTTATGCTTGTCATAGAAAAAATGTCTTCAATTGTAAAATTAAATTATTATTTTGATGTATATTATGGCTAACAGTAATTTTTGTTTAAACCATTAATTAACAACTATAATTCTTATAACTATAAACTGTTAAAAACTTGCGGTTAATAAGTTTTTTTAAAAATAAGTTCAACTTATTAATATATGACCAATTAAGTTTAGTAATTCAGTATTTATATAAATTAATCTTGTGTTTGTACAAAATAAAGTTATTAATTTTAGACTGTTCTACGAAAGAAAAATTTCTCCAAAATACTCACAGGATTTGCACAAAGGTAACTAATAATTTTATTATTTTATTTATATATTCTCAAATCAGACTTTATTATATTTAAATTTAATTTATTATTAACTTATAAATAAATGACCTATTTTTGAGTGGGGCCTAATAAAACACCAGCCCTACTAGCTCAACCATAAATCAGGATTAGATCCAGTAATAAAATCATTTTTGGTTGAAAAAAAACATTTTTTCATTTTAATTAACAAATAGAATATTATTAAATGAAACATTATTGTTATTTAAGCAAATGTTCTATACCAATATTTCTTAAAATAAAGTAAAGTAACAATTATGGTTAGAAAAGAGATGGAAGTGTTTACCTTATAATCATATTTCACTCATTAAGTAAAAGTATTAAGTGTTATTAACTGTGCTAAATATTATTGTCAAAGAAAATTAGTTCAGTAAGAGGTTATCATTTATCTAATTTATTATAATTGTGTTATAATCAAACTTTTATTGAATTCAATCAAACTACAGTTGAATCTTTTTTTAGAAATTTAAAAAAATTTCCAAATTTTTTTTATTTTTTGTTAATATAATTTTTACTTGTCAGATTTTCAACATTTTATGGGGGGAGGCTATAAAATAGGAATAAGGAATAAAATTTACTTAGAATATGTATCAGTCTTACCCTACTTATAAAAATAATGTAAAAATATCAGTGTCTGGGAAGGGTCTAAACTTCCCGTAATATCAACACTAATTTTACTTTATTCTATTAAAAATAAGACTACTTTAAAGTATATACAATAATGATTCTTCATTCAATTTTTATGATTTAATTTTAGATATTATAGTGATGATTATCAATTTATACAACAAAGTGTTATACCAACTATGCATTTTCAACGTTCACTGCCTAGACTTCCAATTCCAGAATTAAATCTTACATGTCAACGGTATCTTCGAGCACAAAAACCCCTTCTATCTGTAAATGATTATTCAAAAACAAAAGCAATTGTTGATGATTTTGAAAAAAATGAGGGTCAAAAACTCCAGAGTATGCTTAAAGAAAAAAATAATTTAAATAAAAATACTAGTTATATAACTGCTGATTGGTCCAATATGTATTTATCTGATCGGACACCATTGCCTATTAATTACAACCCAATTTTAGTGTTCAAACATGTTCATCAATCATATAATAGTCAACTTTTACGTTCAACAAATTTATTAATATCATCTCTAAGGTGAGAGCTTATAAAATAAATATTATGTATATTGTTAATTAAAAAAATAAAGTTGACGTCCATATTATGTCTAAATGATGAATTAAAAAAAATTAAATTATTAATAAATCAAAAACAATATAAAATTTGAAAATATTAAAAATAATTTTCTTTAAATTATTATTTTAAGAGAAATCAAATGACTAAGATTAAAAGAATCGCTCTATAAAGTTGTCAACAATCAACAAATTTTACAACTGCAGAAATTTATTTTATTGTTTTTTCACAGGTTTAAATTATAAAAGAAATATAATCATAACTTGATTTGGTTTATTTATCTAAATTAAAAAGAAATAAGATGTCTAAATATTTTTATAATGAAAACTTAGTTTTATATTGTTAAATATTTAAATTGAATATAGCAAATTTTATTTATTATAAAATGGACCTTTATAGGTCCATATATAAAGCTTTATAGGCCTTGGGAGTTTAAAAATTATTTTAAATATTATTCTAAGTAATAGTTATAATAATTTAACTTATATTATTCTAGGTTTTTTAAATCCCTACAATCTAATTTATTAGAACCAGAAATTTTTCATCTTAATCCAAAGAAAAGTGATACATCTCGATTTAAAACATTAATGAAATACATTCCAGAAACTGTTAGTTGGTATGGAGCATATTTGTTTAATGTGAGTATTTAGTATATATTTTAGATATTTTGTGCTTGTAAACTTTTATTTGTCTATTTATAAATCAAAAATAAATATTGTTCACTTTTATTTACATTATTTTATTTTAATAAACAAATTAAGAATTTGTTAAGTATGTATTATGACGTTGAGTAGGAGAAAATACTGAAAATTTTGTCATTTAATAATTTACCTTATAAAAAAGTAAATAACTATAAGTTATATAAAATAATTTTTCAGGCGTATCCATTAGATATGTCACAGTATAGTTCACTTTTTAGAAGTACAAGAATACCTATGGTTAATAAAGATATATTACATAAAAATGATTCATCTAAACATATTGTAATAATGAGACGAGGACATTTCTACAAAATTGATGTACTGGATGAGAAAGGTAAGCCAAATAACTTTTCATTAATTATTACTTAGATTGTACTTAGAAATAAAGGAACTCATAGTTTACTTTATAAGAGAAGGATTCATTAAGAATTTTTCAATCCATATTAATCATTATTATTATCTATTTCATTTTTTAAGTATAAAATATTTACTGAATGCTAAATATGATGTTTTTATAAAACCTTTTTTTAAGTTAAGTTTTCCACATTGATTTTTTTTTGAACAATTACTTTTTGATTATATATTTTTGCACTTTTGTAAATGCAGCCTTGTCTAAAATATAATTTTTTTAATAGTACGTAACCCAATTGTCTTATAGGAAATATATTGTCACCTGGTTTACTATTATCAAGACTACAATATATTTTAAATCAAAATGTATCCCCATCAAACCATCCTGTTGGTATTCTTACAACATCAGAACGCAATAATTGGGCTCATTTAAGAAATCATCTTATTAACTTAGGAAATAAAGAAATTTTAGATACTATTGATGATAGCTTAATGATGATAGCTCTTGATGATGAAAAACTGAACTCTGAACCTAACTTAATGACAAAACAATATTTACATTCAAATGGAACTAATAGGTAGAAATAGAATTATTTTATTTTATTAACAGTCATAAAATTATATAATATATAATTCATTCATCGAATAATATTCGATTCGAATCATATAATATAATAAAATATATATATTATATGATATATTATACATATCAAAATATATAATATTGTAGCCTTATTTATAGAGTACAAGTAATTTTAAATATTTTTTAAAATATACTTAGTGATATTGATTTTCTTGAAATATTATTACAGGTGGTTTGACAAATCATTTACTCTAATAGTTTGTGGTGATGGTACTGCTGGATTAAACTTTGAACATTCATGGGGTGATGGTGTAGCAGTTTTAAGATATTTCCAAGATATTTCTCAGGATAGTGTTAATTCTCCAAAATGTCATCCCGATAATGTATCCATTGAAATTAACTCAGATAATTTGCAAGTTGTAAAATTAGGTTCATATTATTAGACTTGTAATATACACTTTATTTGATCAAAACCAATTAAATTACAGAATTTACTTTGGACGATAAAATTAAAAGAAACATTGAAAAAACTATGAATGAGTTTAAAAATATGTATGAATCTCTGGATACAAACTATTTTGAGTTTTTCGATGTAGGTAGAAATACTTGTAAAAAATTTGGAATTAGTGCCGATTCTCTTATGCAATTATGCTTTCAAGTAATTTTAAATATATATATTAAATTTTACTTATAATACAGTTTTATATTAATATCTTTGTGAAAAATTGGAGACAACAAATTAAATTTCTATAAACATATATTATAGCTGGGGAATTTTAAACTGCATAAGAAACATGTGGGATCTTATGAATCGTGTAGTACTGCTGCATTTAAACATGGAAGAACGGAAACTATACGACCATGTACTATTGAAACAGCGGTTAGTTTCAGTTATTATAGAAGAAAATACTATTTTATTTTTAATTGTAATTCATCTTTAATTAGAATTTCTGTGAAGCAATAAGCAATAAAAATAAACCATCAAATGATGAATTGGTCAATATGATAAAAAAATGTTCAATTGTGCACAGTCAACTTGTCAAAGAAGGTGCTATGGGTATGAAATTATATTTTTATTTTATTTAATAATTAATTTTTAGTTAAAGTTAATACAATTTTTCATTTATGCTGAAGGGTAAATCCATATCAAATCATCCAAAGTTGTTGCGCAACCACTTTATTTTTTTTGAAATTTTACACACAAGTTGTCTAGTATATAAGAAGAAAAAATTTAAAAAGTTTATTTATGACTTATCAAACATTTTAAATTTTTGAAATACTTGTAATTCGTATAAATATACTTATGATAACAGTATTTAATATTAAGACTTGAAACTTTCATAGTTTTTTTTTTATGCGATACTCTAACATATCCCATAATTACCAACACGTTTTTTAACTTTAAAGTTGGAAAATTTTGTTTTCTAAATTGAGTTTTTTTTACAAAATAATGTAATTTTCAAAGATTAAATTGACTATGAAAAAAAATTTTTTTTTCCTAAATATTAACGTACACTGACAGTAATATTTAATTGTGTTTTGAAACATTTTACTCTTACCGTTTTTTATTGGGACATATTTAAAAATGCTCGAATTTCTAAAAAATAAATTTTTAGTCTTTTTTTAATTTTTCTCTGGTGAAACAAAATATTTTAATATGATTTTTTCACAAAATATAGTACTATGTATGTAGTTTCTATGAAAAAAATTTCAAGTTTGATAGTTGACCGCAACTTACAAAAAATTAACTTTCAAAATTACGTTTTTTTTTTTAAGTTTATGAAAAATCTTGTTTTTTTAATACTGAAAACTTTCTGTATTTCCAATACTTAGTTTTTCTGTCTGTATAGGTATATATATATCAATATATTAAGTACATGAAAAATGTAAAATTTTTGATAAGTCATAAATAAATTTTCGTAAAACTTTTTTAATTTTTTCTTCTTATATACTAGACAACTTGTGTGTAAAATTTCAAAAAAAAAATTTGATGATTTGATATGAATTTACCCTGAAGTACATCATGGCTAAATTTTTATATTTTAAATACTTAGTGATAAACATTAGTATTTTTATGTAAAAAAATTTATCATTGTAAATTGTTGAGGCCTTATAGAACACTAACTAAACATTTCTAATGATAATGAATCCCACCTATAATTTGTACAATAGTCACCTATACTATGATTGATAACTATATGGTAGATCAATCAACCGGCCACCTGTTATACACAACACATACCACCGTAGAATTTAAGGCTAGAGTTAGTTGTAATAAAATAATTTTTTGGAATATTTTGTAGAAATTAATTCATTTTATTAGGTATTCTAGTATAAAAGCTGTGATATTTGTGATTTTTACTAAACTATTTATTGAAATCTGCGTGTTACTTGTTGGAAAAAATTGCATGTTGTGTATTTGTAAAATTGTTTTTTAGTGTTCTATTTTAACTTAAGAGCAGCCGGCTAGTTTGTATTATATACTCAACTGTGAGTATTGAATTTTTAAATTGTAGTATAAGTATCTTGAGTTGGTTTTTTATCATATTATTGAATCTATATTCTTGTGTTCTCCTATTAGTGTTATTTGAATTATTGAACAATTTATTAAGTGTTTAGTTAAATTTTTATTATAATATCATACTCGCTCATATGGCGAGAGGATTACATCAAAGGGATTTTTTAGTATTATTTTATAAATTTATTTATTTTTCTGTGTGATTAAATTAGTTCAGTAGTCAATTTAATACAATAAACCTTTTAGTATATTTTAATTTTCATAGTTACCTCAGATACTCCAGTTATAGTTATTTTTAGTTGTTAAATTGTTTATTGTTGAGCCAAAGGGGTTTTTTGTTGCATATTATTAGTTGATTTTTTTATTATTAATTACCAATTTTTGTTACCATTGTTTTTTAGGAGTTATTGTTTATTGTTATTATTTTACAAAAAGAGCTAGTTGAGAGCTGTACATATTATTAGAATAATTATATATATTGTTATTGATTTGTTGAGTTTAATAGTGTTTAAACTTATTAATTATTATTTAGCTTGAAGGACTAATTCAAATTATTTTTAATTATTATTATTGAGAAATTTAAGTAATTTGAGTTATTTACTTTTTTAATTTTTAAGGAATACACACCTACATTTTTTACACACTTACCCATTTAAGCGCTATATAGATCACTAATTTTTGTAGGAAATCTCTCCCATCACTAGTGACTCTATCACAGCATCATACATCAACAGGTTGGCCGGTCTTTGAAATAGTATAACGAGAGACCGGGCTATAGGTAAAAAAAAGTGTGGTGAAAAGGTAAGTAATTTATTGTGTAATACCACTGGCCAAACATCAATAATATAGTAAAATATTACTTAATATTTTGTATTAATAAGTTTTTTATTTGAATCATCTGCGAAAAAAAAAAAAATAATTTCACCACAACTCACATGGGTTTACTCAACTCACATTTTTAATAATATGTTTTGTTTATATAGATGCATCATTTAAATAAAAAAATAAGTTAAATTGTATAATAATTCATTGAATTATGACGATTAAAACATTTAGTTTATTCATAAATAATGCTAAGTTCCTAAAATTGCCTCTATTTATGCTTAAAATTTATATAATATTATAAATTTTGTCAATTAATCATTATTTGATTTATTAATGTCCTTGTTTGAAAAATTTTTATTGACAAATTATTTTACTTTTATATTGGGTACAATACAAAAAATTAAGAGTACTTAAAGTAAATTACTTTAAAGTGAAGTGTCTTGTAGCAGGAAAATAAGTATACTTAAAAAGTAATAAAAATTGTTAAAGAAACTCTCAATATGCATTACTAAATTAAAAAAATACTAGATAATTTTAAAATTGAAAAATAAAAGACTGTCACATAAAATGATAATGATTTTTATGCTCTCAATAAGTTGTATAAATTTCAATCAAATAAATTAAGTGGTTTTTAAATTACAGTGCTCACCGACCACTGAGGGGGTCCAACTAATGGCTATTTGTCAACTTGGTCTACAATATATATATACATATATACATATATACAACATTAGTACTCAATTTCTCTTAAAATAATAAGTTTTTTGTGAATTTTTTTTTCGTTTCTGTTATAAAATATCTTTTTATGTTCATCTCTTATGTATTATAAGGGTGTTAACTTCATTTTTTTTAATTTCATAATATTTAACTAACTTATAAAATAGAAAAGGATTGGTCGATAACAATTTTTGGACTAGTATTTTAGAAGTTATTATCATTTTTATACCTAGGTACGAGAAGGATAGTAGCCATGAAATTATTAAATAAAATTAGTAATATCCTTGCTTCGCTTCCAGTCTATATTTTAAAATACTAATATCTTCCAAAGTATTACACCAAAAGTTGTTATTAACCAGTTATTTTCTTAATTACATGATTATCTATTTTATAAGCTAATTAAACATGTATGTTGTCATTAAAAAAAAATAAAACTGATACCCCTATAAGATATACAAGATGGACCTAAAAATATTTTATAACATAAGACGATAAACAGATATACATATGTAACTAACAAAAGCTAAAAAATATATCACAAGAAAATTATTTAAAAATAAATTGTATGGGCAGCGTTAAAAGAATCACTGTATATATTTTTTAATTTTTGTCAAATTAAGTTAAGACATATAATATTTGATGTATAAAATATATTAAAATATTTATTAACAACTACTTGAATACACATTATTTCATGCATCGACTACCATTAATCGCTTCAGGAAATATAATATACAATAATTAAAATAATTAACAATTTTAAAATTTTATGCTAAATCTCATAAAAAAAATTTTTTTTTTATTTCTCTAAAATTTTACATATTAAATTGAAAATACTTCATTAATAAATAGATTTATATTGGAGTATCAAAAACAATTAAATATTTTAATTAATTAAAAATAAAAAACAATTTGGGTAAATATTCTCTGTGACTATGACCACAAAACAAAACTAAAGTGATGATAAAAATACTGCCTTTTTCTAATTTTTTAAATTTAATAATAATGTTACCAACTATAAATAAACACATTTATAACAAGTTTCTGTTTGGCTTACTATCACCCTAAGTATAAGTAATGCCAATGTAAAATATTCCTCATTTCTGTTAATAGAAATGAATCATTTACATTCAATGCATGTTACTGATCATAAGTAAAAAACTGTAGGGATTGTTGCATCTTAGTCAATAAGAATTACATTTATAAAATTCACCAAAAGATTATATTACATATATTTTATATTTCTACTTGTTAATAAAAATTACAGGGCAGGGATTTGATCGTCATCTTTTTGCTTTGAGATTATTAGCTGAGAAAAATAATTTGAATATACCTAAATTATTTACTGATCCTGCACACAAACTGATTAACTACAATATTATATCTACTTCTAGTCTTACTTCAAATTATATTTGGCTTGGAGGATTTGGACCAGTAGTTAAAAATGGTTATGGCATTGGGTAAGGGTTACTAATAACTAATTATTTTACAACTAGATTATCAGCGATATAATACATTTATGAAATTAAAAACAAACAGCCAAATTAAAATATTTTGTTGTTCTTGAAGGCTTAGTTTAAATTTACAGTATTTTGTGCAATTACATTGCAAAACAATTAAAATTATTTTTATTACTTCTATTTAGATATAAAATACTTGAAGAGTATACTGGTGCAATAATTACAAATTACAACCAACACACAGATGGAGATAAATTCAGAGATGTGTTAACTAAAAGTCTGAATCAAATTCTTGATGTATTGAAGACTAACTAGAATTTATTTTTCATTATTGTGTATCAAACAATATAAATCAAAAAAAGACTTTTCATTCATTATATTTAATTAAAAGAAGGAATCTTGGTATAAATTAAAGTAATTATTTTGAAAATTAAATTTAAAAAAATATAAATATGTTACTACATCTAAGGTGTAAATTAGGTTTGGTAACTACTTTTTAAAGGGTTAGGAGGCTGGACTTTCAAAATTATTTTTTTATTTATCTTAAATGTAAATATTCAGCAATGTGAAACGCAGATAATTATTATAGCTATGTTCAATTATATAGTATTGATTTAAGAGATATATCTATATATAATAATAATTATATAAATAGAGAAGATGAATATTTATTTGTTGTGATATACATATCTCTGACCTATTATTATTGTATTACATGATTATTCAACAAACTTTAAGTTCAATGGTATTAGTTAAGTATTATATTTCAAGATTCGGTTTTTTTTATTGTTATGAACTAGTATTTTAATTTCTTTAAATTTTTAAATAGGTGTATTCCTAATAGTATTATTAGTTACTAACAAGTTACAACATATTTATATTATGAAACTATAAAAACTATTTTATTTATTCAAACTTCAGGTTGAGTTTATGGGTAGTTCTTGCCTACTTTTCTAACAACTAAAACTATACTTCAGTGCCTATTTATAATTTTTTAAATTTTATTTAAATTATATTATTTACTGATTCTATACCATTAAAAATATAAATTATAATAATTGTGTAAAATGGTTGAAATATTGTTATAATTATTGTTGTTGTCTCAACTTTCATTGCCTAGAAAAAATTATTTTTATATCAAAATATTTTATTAAAAAAAAAATATTAAATAATGAAAAAAATCTTATATTAAGCTTTATTTGATAAATAAAAAACATTAAATAAGGACAATGTACTTTAATTAATTTTTTTAAATTTCTGAATACATTCTTATGTATTCACTACTGTATTCTTATTATTATGACTATTGAGAAATGTTTTTATTAAATTAATGATAAAAGACTTTTTTTACTTATATAAGATAAATATGCATTATACATTAGACAATTATTTTTATAATAATTTTTGTCTACTTAATACATAATTATGTAGAAATATGTTCATAATAATTGCAATTCAGTTCTCAAATATATTATTATAAATACGTTTTTTAAAAGAGAGTAGTCTTCAGTTTTGAATCATTTTCATGTTATCTAAAAATTATATGTTGCACTATTATATATTATATAAGATTAAATTCATGTATTTTTAAATTCCTAAAACTTAACTCCTAAAATAATAATTAATACATACTCTCAATAGTTTTTATAATTTTATTTAGATATCCAGTATCATTATAGTCTTTTCTATTTCCAGGAGAAATATTTAGAGTAAAGTCAGGTCCATAAGATGAAAAATACTAAAAAAAAAAAAATGATATCAATGTATTAATTTGATTCAAAAAATTACAAATTAAAATGTTATCCGTTACTTTACAATCTGGAATATCAGCTGGTAGCTTATTTTCTTGCTTAGCTATAACTGCAGTTAAACAAGTCCAACATCGAGCAACATTTGGCAAATTGTAACCACCTAAAAGAAAACAACAGTATCATTATCATTAATCATGATTAGGCTTAGCCTAGCTGGAGTTCTTTTTGGGGTTCTTACGGATAGATCATAGATTTTGGTAGGAGTACCTGGTATAGCAAGATAAGTGATTTACACAAAATGTATTCAGAATAGTATCACAAAAATATAAACATTTTTTTTTTTAAACAAATCAATCCACAAAAATATTGTAAACATTTAATTATTAAAACGAGTAAAATTTAAAAAGGGTTCATAGTAAAATATAATAAGGGTATGGTATACATTTGGTGCCCAGGTCATCCATCACAATAATATAATCATTTTTCAATATAAACACTATCTTCGGTATCAACAATATTAATAAAATTTTGCTATGAAGTTATAGGCTATGATGTGTCACTGTAATGTAGAATTTTAAAAATTAGGAAGTAAATTTTTTTTGATGTATTAGAATATTATAAATACAAATTTTTATTAGCATCTAATAATTATCATATGTGAGCGATTATTGTGATGTGTACACACAAAATGTTGTCCAAATAATGTGACAATTGATTAAAAAAAAATAAAAATTCTTATCTTTGCAAATTATTTTTCCAGATAATGTTGCCTAGCTCTTATTTCATTATAAATTTTTTTTTTTTAGAAAATCTGAAATTTTTAAAGTAATTTTTCCAGGATTATCAAGTTTCCCAATGTTTTATTATATAATAAAATGATATACCTGAAGTACTTAATACTGTAAAACTACAATGTAAAATAATGAATTTTCTAGATAGCTGAATTCTTAGAAGATATTTTTAAATAAATCATAATTTCTTTTATTATTTAAATTATATTTAAAATTGAAACATCTTAGAATCAATTTCTTTGTTACTTTGATCTTTAATGATCTAGGTGCTTTATAAAAATATTTTAAAGAAAAAACTTATCATTAATTTATAGATTTTTTTATATTCCCATTTTGCTTAAGATATATTTTAAAGTTGTAAATAGAATAATTAAAATTAATTACCACCGCCTAAAAATAATACTGGTTTTTGCCAAGATATTACAGTTTTGATACAGTCAACATAAGCTTTTGGTGTTAAATTAAACCCACCAATTGGATCACCAATCAAACTATCAGCACCACATTGAACAACTATACAGTTTGGTTTGTAGGAACAATAAACCATAGAACTGATTCTAAAAAATTTTTTCATGTATTATTGAAATAATAATGTAACCTAAAATAAGCATTATGTGAGTTAAATTTAATTAAATATTTTGTATATAGGCTGTTTAGTAGTTAATACAAGTTTAGTATTCTGATGTTAATATTGTGTTTAAATATAATTGAGGGTGGTTTGCCAAAGCTTGCCAAATCAACCAAAAGAAAAGTTTTAAGGAGGTATTTATATGAATTTTAAGGTTTTTTTTAACTTCAATACGAAGTTGAGAAGGTATTAGTTTTATAATGTAGTGCGTTTTTTTTATGTCTGTCCATAAATATGTCTACCCTATTGTAACTTATTTTAATTTGAGGTGCTTGAAGTGTTCTACAATATTAAAAAGTGTCATCCCACGATTTTTGGAAGAATTAAAATTATACAAATTATAGTGTAATTTTTCAGATATGTATCAAAGTGTTTTTTATGACAGTGATATTATTCACTGTCAGATATCTTTTATACTTGTCCAAACTGTGCTGCATATTCATTATATATTTTTTAATTTTAGTTCATTTCAATAGCTTTAATTAAAAAAAAAAAAAAAAGTAATTTTTGATAAAAAATCTTAAAATTTACCCACTTATTTTAATTTTTTATGGAAATTTTGTTTTTTACAAGGAACAAGAGAAAATTGTTCAATGTTTGAGGATATTGTCTTCAATTAAATACAATTTGTGTTCTTTTGATGTATCATTAAAAAAAATCAGTTCAGTCAGAGCTGAGCAAAAAATAAAATAAACACACTATTGTAAAACTATATCTTCTCAGCTAAAAATGGTAACACCAAAAAAATTACTTTTTAAATAGTGATATGTAACTTTCATTTGTAATTCCTTCTTTTAATGGTACATTTACAGAGTAGAATTTTCCTTTGTCTATCCCAATATCATTTAAAGAACCACTTGTAGGATAAAAACCAGGTTCAAATTGATGGAATGATAGTGTGAGTACTCTATCAGTAGTCATATAAGCATACTCGACTCCATTACCTAATAAATTCACATTCTAATAAGAAAATAATGATGCAATTGATGATCACTATTCTATTTAATACCATGATGCACATCAAGATCAATATACAGTACTCTTCCAAAATAATTCCTTAACGTTTCTATTGCTAAAACTATATCATTTACATAGCAAAATCCTTCTGCAGAATCTCTAAAAATACATTTTTTTTGAACATTAATTTTTGGTAATTTTTTTTTTAAATATTAAATAATTTAAAAGGTAATAATATGGTGTTTATACAGTTACTATATTTCCACCTTTGTGCATGATGCCAACCACCACACCAATTTATAGCATAGTTATATTTCATAGTAGTTAGCAATTTTGCAGCAGTAACTGAAGCACCAGCAATGAATGTAACAAATTTCCAAATATTTTCTAACACTGGACAATCATAACCTAATTATAAAAAATACAAATTGTTTAATAATGTAATCTGAAAGAAAAAAATTCTATATTAGATAACATGCATTTTTAAGAAAAATATATTTTTTACCATTCTAGAAGCAATTTAAATATAAGAAGTGTATATAACTTTATTAATCTTAATAAGTTAAAAACATTTATATACTAATCCAAAAAATTAAGGCATTCTATACAATTAACAAAAGTACTATTATTACAAACCAATTCCATATTCATTTTCTGTCTCTATAAGAGAGTACTCATGATCATTTAACTGTTTAAAATAATTTATATATGAGCTTGAATGAAATTGAATAAGGTCATCATAAGAGACAGGTTCTACTTTGAAAACATTCATATGGTCATATAGATTATATGTTCTTATGAGATCATCGACTAAATAAGCCTGAAGAAAAAGACAAAAACTAATAATAATTAGCTAAAAATTATAATGTTTTTATAGTTCATACTCGATTTTTTATATTTGGTATTTTGTTGCATTCAGTAAGTAATTGAGTATCAGAAATAAAAGCAATGCTTGTATCCATCTTATGTGTATATGAAATATGATGTTTATGCTATTGATTAATTTATTATAGACTACAGAAATAAAAAAAATAATACACTAATATAACCGACACTAATATCTCAACACAATAATACAATTTTTTATTTTAATTTAGGAATTATTCATATAACAATCATGTTTAAGCATATCTTTAAAAATAATATGCAAACTGTTGAATTTTTATTTGATAAAATTAAATATATCTCAGTTAAATTTTTTTAAATATGCTATATTATGTCAAGTTGAAAAAATTGACTTAATTAAAGGACGTTAGGATAAAATTTTAATAATAACACAAGCACTAAAATAACAACATTAACGACTAGATTGTAATAAAAGCAATCACACAAATTTTTTTAAAACGAACCGCGTTATTCACTGCCTAAAGTTGAACAAAATTAACATTTATCAGCCACAAATAATAATAATTTCTGATTGATAAATATTAATTTTACGCGGGAACTTAAAAATAAACCTACATTAGTGCATCTATAAAGTTTTTAATTTTCATTTTAAAATTATGTTTGAGTTAAAATTCGAATTTTAGTTTTAATAATGAATTATTAATAATTTGTCTAATTATTAATGCTCTAAAAATTATAGGATTTAAATTACACTGATAGATGACACTATCAATTGGGGTTGGTAATCTATGATTCCCGCCTATCTATGTACATTGTAATATCAAATAAAACCTTCAAGACGGTCAGTTTTTGATAATATTAATGTTTCCAATGATATTGTTTTTGTGATTAGAGCGTAGGCGGCAAATGTAAAATTGAATAAATAAGTTTGAATAGAAATATTTAAAAGTAGGTCGTAGAATGTACGACAGTGAATATTGCTAAGATTTAGTCACCTGAGTATGTATATACTGAAAACATTTAGAAATAGTGCCAATTAAACTAACAAATAATTTTGTTTTAATTTGAAGCATTCTACAGTTTTTCAATCTTATTATGAATTTTTTACTTTTAAGTACTTTTTTAATTCAACACTTCATAAAATATACGTAAGTAATTACATGAAATAAAGTTAAATATATAATATTCAACAATTTTCAATTCCATAGATCAGATATTAATTTTTTATAACAAAAAATATTCGGACCTATAATCGTTTAAAGATTTTTTTATTATCTATTATACAATTGATTTTTATACCCTTAAAATATTGGGTATTATAAAATTTATGTTAAATTTATATATGGACTCTTTATATCATAAAAATATACAAACATATTTTAGTAAATGCTTTAAAAAAATGTGTTTTTATGAATCTTTTTCTTTAATTAATAATTAACTAGTCTAAACATGAATTTCTCAGATTATCTCCCTTCAAAAGCTTGTTCATTTACCACCGAATCTTATGCGATGTCCTCGTCTCTCAAATTCGTCAAATCACTCAATATAATAAATGTTCTGATTGTCTCGGATTCATTGTCAGTTTTATCCTCTCTTTCCTCAGTTCCTTTTAAAAAAAGTAGATCCTTCCTCACAATCAAAATTAAAGCCTTAATTTATAGTCTCTATTTAATGGACATTAATGTTGAATTTTTATGGTGCCCGAGTCATGTCGGAATATCTGGCAATGAGATAGCAGACCATCTAGCCAAACTGACTAACTTTTTCAACCGACCACCTATCCTAAAAATTCCCTCTTCCGATCTCCTTTCCTCTATTCATCTAACTATTAATAAAGCATGGCAAGATAAATGGTCAAATTCCTCTTTAGTTAACTGGCATAAATCTATAGTTCCAACTATCCCTAAACGTCCTTGGTTTTACAACCTCCCTCTGTCCCCGTTTCCATATTACCTCTTTTTTCCGTCTTAGATTTGGTCATAATCGGTTACCTAGTCATGCCTTTAACATGTCATTAAACCATTCCCCATTGTGCCCCAAACACAATGATGAAGTCCCCTGTAATTTTTCTCATTTACTATTTAATTGCCCAGCTTTACAACATAACCGTTTACTCTTGTTCAATTTCCTGTCCTCCCTTAATATTTCACCCATTAATAGTTTTAATATCCTTAATACAAAATCCTCCTCAATAATTATACAAATAATTTCCTTCGTTCATTCAGCTGGCTTCGTTATATAATATTTTTCTGTATGTTAATTTAATATCCTAGGTCTATTTTGTTTTGTTCTTTCTTTTTTAGTATTTTGAGTATGTTTAATTTATTATTTTAACGATATGTTTAATTGTGTTTAATAACAATATATTTTTTTTCCTTTGTATAGTCTTAGTTCTTATTGTATAGTCTTAGTTTCTATTGTATAGTTTTATTTTAATCGTTTAGCTATAATAATACTTCTGTATTGAAAGCTAATAATAAAAAAAAAAAATTAATAATGAATATTTAATTACTATACTATAATAATAGTACTACTCTAGTAATTTAATATTATTATAAAATTCAGTGTTTTAGTTACTAATTGTTATTTAGTTATTAGTTGTTTATTAATAATCATTTATATTCAAAAATATTATTTTATGAGTTTTGATGCATTAAAAATAGTCAGTAATACCGCTAACACATATTTAGGTTATAAAATATATTGTGCTTTAAAATCTATAATCTGCTAATCTATAAAATTATTTTTTTGAGCCTCATTTTTTTCTTTTTAGCTATTTATACTAAAAATATTTTGTAAAATTATTTTAGTAATAAACAGATATTATTATTTACTTAGCCTCTATTTCAACAATTTCGGGTTGGCTCTACCTTATGTATTAAAAGATATTTACATTAGCTGACCATATCATTAGTAAACCAATATTTAAAAATTCTATCTTAAAAAGTTGTTATCATTGTTTATCTGAAAGTTAAAAAAAAGTGTTTGTCCAAAATCAGAAAAATGAGCATACTATTTTTTTGAAGTTTCGATTTTAAAAATATTTTTTTTTTTAAGTGTAGGTTCTAAACAATTTTTGGGTTATTGTTTGAGAGTATTTCCTGAAATATAGCTCTAACCAATAGTAGTTTGAACTTTTTGTTATAACATTCAAACTACCACTTTTTTTTAAATGAAGAAATGGTTTTATAATTTAAAATTTCTATGTTATTTTATAATTTTAAAAAATTTAACTATAGTGGTCTACCAATCTATTTATCAATGAAGTTGTGAAAAAGTTTTTTTTAAATTTTATCTTAATTTTTAAATGAAAAAGTGATTTATTTTATTTATAGGTTCATAATAAATTAGATTGAAAATTCTCTCGTTAGTAAAGTCTTATTTGTGTATATCATAGAAAGTTGTAGGGAACTACAATTTAGAAAGTAAGGATCCATCAGTGCATGACCTCAGTGAGAATTGTTTGATGAAACTAGAGTAGTGTATATTTTGTTACTTGTTAAATACATTAATTGAAGTATTTTCTATTTCTTTTTAGAATAATCTATATAATTTTTTATTTTTATTTTTACAGGAACTCTCGACAAATAACATTTAATAATGCAATATTCTATGAAAAAACCAGATATTTTTTATAATTTTTTAAAATTGACTTTTACATTGACTGTTTTACAAAGTATCTGATTCACATGTAAGTTCCTTTGCATTTTTTATTATGTGTAAATTACTTTTTTTGTAAAATAACATTGTAAAAATTAGTGTGACTAGAACTAAACTTTATGCAAAATATTGAGAAAGCCTAACGGACTCCAAATATGTTTTAGATATATTTATTCAAACTTAAATTGAATGACAACATTTGATGAACTCTTGATGTGTTTATTTACTATATCAATACAATCATTGATGATTGTACTGATATCAGTACATCAATATAATCAGTGCATACCTATCCTTCTGTAACTTTTAATTTACATTCATGAGTTATTAATTTTACTTAAAACTGCTACGAGATTTCTATAAATTAATGAATAAAAACAAATTTTACAATTTTATTTGAAATATAATAGTTTACATGCTTACTGGGGGAATTAAAATGACTACTATTCGATAAAATTTTTTTTTTTTTATTTTCTAGAAATACTGACACTAATATATATATATATATATTAAATCAAAATATATTATACTTTATTTAAAAGAAAAAAATTTGACTTCTCCACTTGTCTTCGTGGTGAAAACGGACATCAAAGTTAAAGAAAAAAGTACAATTTCAGTGTAAAAATTGAAAAATTAAAATAGTTATAATGTAAAACTTTTAAAAGTACATAACAATTTAAAACTACATTTGAATATGTTTTTAAATTTTTTGAAAAATATTTGAACATACTGTTTTAAATAAAACTAACAATTTTTATTTGATTGTAAGTTCTTAGTAAAAAAATAAAAATATATAAATTTAAATTTTTTATCCAATCTGTAATGAAGCCAATTTCTTAATAAATCCTGTTCTTAGGTTCTTTTCGTTTTCTGAAAACTATTTATTTATGTTTACCAAGATAACTTTAACTACACATTTTTTTATTGTAATTTTATAAATATATATTTTCAGATAAATCAAAATGCAGGAATCTGAGGTGGATTGGCTTATGATAATTTCAATTATTTTTATATCAAGCTGTATTTTAACAGGGATATCATGTTTAATATGTTGTTTTTGGTCAAAATGCCCATTATACAATTGTTGCCGACCAAACTATAACAACACATTAATTATATCTTATGGTATAATTTTATTTAATAACATAAATAAAAATTTAATATAATTACACTTAAATAAAAAATTGAATAAATTATTCCATTATTATAATATATGTTTTCTGAAAAATATTATCAAAATGTATTTATTAGGGAAAATTATTTAAAGAAGTCAAAATATTAATGAATTAGTTTTTTTTTTATTCAAATAATTGTTTGTCAATAAATTTCAGACTTTAATCAGATGGAGAAAAAAAANTGTCAATAAATTTCAGACTTTAATCAGATGGAGAAAAAAAAATTGAATACTTAAAAGTATTGAAAAATTTCTAGAAATTTCTATAGATATATTCAGAAGTTTTTAAAAGTTGAAAGTTTTTAATTGTAATTTTAATTAATTAATTTTTTTAATTATCTCTAAATTTAATTTAAAATTTAATTTATACATATATTATTAGACATTTTTATCTTTTATTCTTCTTTATCATCTTCCTCGCCTTAATCCTAACTACTTGGGGTC